TGGAATGGTTCGAAATGAATAAACTTTTAGGTATTGGGAATTTTATCATGTATGACGGGGGTGTCACAGGCAAGGCTAAGAGGGTCTTCGATTATTATTCCAGCACAGGAGCCTTAACTCTCATAACGGACATGTTTTCCTCGTTCGTGATTAACAAGGCCGAGTCCATCATACCGTACGCCTTCGTGTCAAGGCGAGAGGAGAAGCAAAAAGCACAACTCTTACAGGCAGAACTAGCGAGTATCAACAACTGCATATACCGCTTTAAAGATAAATATAACCACATTTTAGTGATCGATCTTGATGATGTCCTCATTCCTTCCAACGAAGAACCCATCACGAAACTTCTTGAGCGTTTAGTCCAGTGGCAACCTAAGGCCTCGGCATACGCGTTCCAATCTGTTCACCACTTCACAGACTTCGGTTCCAGCGATACCACTCACAAGATCCCCACCTATCTCCATATGCTGCGTCACTTAAGGCGTACCGAGGTGGACTGGTTTCAGGCCAAGAGCATCCTTGTACCTGATAGGGTGTACACCGCCAATTGGCACAAACCACGACCACTAAGACCGCAGAAGGACACAATTCAGAAGGTCGAGGAAAGAGCTGGTTTCATCCACCATTATCGTGACCACTGCAATTATTGGTTCTCTGATAGACCTTGTAGCAAAGTGCTCAAATCTTGGACGGTTGATTCTATTGTGCCTCGATATAAAGATCGTTTGGATGCCAACGTGTTAAAGATTCTTAAGAAGCTAAACCTACTGGATAGCGTTGGTAACGGCAAATTTCCTTCTTACAAAATGGATTCATTTGAAGGAAGTCAGCCCAAGAGACTAGGCTTAGGAAGTGATAAAGAAAACGTAAAGCCAAAATTTAGCATTAATTCTGCCAACATCCCCTCAACAAAACGCCCTTTCCTAAGTGCCGACGATGTAAATACACAGCCAAAGTCAAGGGTGACTTCCCTTGGCGCAAATACCATCAGACCCCAAACTTTAAGTGGCAGTCGAGACAACGAGCATTTGCCAGCAGAGGCAAAGTCTCTTGGCAGGCGTCCCACTACAAGAAGACCAACAGCAAGAGAATACCAAGACAACAAACAAACACAACCAAATTCTTTTGGCAGGCGTTCCACTACAAAACGACCAGCAGTAAGAGAATACCAAGACAACAAACAAACACAACCAAATCCTTTTGGCAGGCGTCCCACTACAAGACGACCAGTAGCAAGAGAATACCAAGACAACAAACAAACACAACCAAATCTTCTTGACAGGCGTCCCACTACAAAACGACCAGCAGTAAGAGAATACCAAGACAACAGACAATCACATCCAGAAACCAATCCTCCTAGCAGGCGTCCTGCTGCAGGAGAACGCCAAGATAACGGGCAATTCGAACCACAGAATTGGCCTCTGGGCATGCGTTATACTACAAGAAGCCCAGTTTTAGATACCAATCCTGGAAAAGCAAAACTAAACATAAATTCTGTAAATCAGCGCCGTACAAAACGACCTCCCATGGTTAAACCGGGCAACGGAACATATGCAACGGTCTTAAACATGGGACAAAATGTCCCGAAAGAGGCCTGGCCAAAGTCAGTGAATCGAAATCGAACTCTAGACAAGTCAAAAGACGGTGAACGAAAAAGTGTCCCAGGAATATCTCGAAATCAGCTATATGATAAAAGCAAGTAGCTCAAGAACGTGCCTTAACCAAAAGGAATAATTTCCCAAACTTACCACTTGCTAACTAGAGAGAAAGGATATCAAAAGAATGAGCTCACACCATGTTATTGGGTGGTTAAAAAAGATGTTGACATTTTTGATGACGTAGCCTTTTTCTACTAGAAGACAATCTTCACAATGTTTTCCATAGACCCGTCTTACAGACATGTAAGTTTTATGTGGTGAAAGTTTTGGTTTTTTTTTTACTTGTATACCATCATTTTGCCAGCACATCTCAATAGTTTATAATGTGCTCGTTCCAAGCATCTTGGCGCCAAATCACTGTGGATATACTCGCACAATGAAGTTTGTACTGATAGTGTGCAACATGTCGTGGGAATTTCTTCTGATCTTCGTTGAAATGTTATTCTTGAGAGCATCAATAAATTGAGAATTGTTGATATAGGCACTGTCTTCTAGGTTTCCTTACAGAAAACAATCTATGATAAACTTTTTTTGCGATAAATGTCTGTTAGACGGGTCTATGAAAAAATTGCTCATTTTGTCTTTTGGTGGATAAATTATTTTTCAGAAATGTAAACACTTTTTGGGTCACTCTGTATAACGCTCTACTCGATATGTTAGCTGTTAAGTCTTGTATCAATGTTTTAGATATTTTACAAACATAGCCATTTTGTACGCGGAGACATTTTTATTGCGAATTTACGTTTTCTGGGGCTCCTTCATTTATGGAAACAAATACTGAAACGTTAAGAAGCAGTTTATGGATAAGGGTGTCTATTTATTTTAAAAAAACTATATTAAAACCGCACTGGGGTGGATGACACAAACAGCACCGCTGACAAAACTGATCTATGTAACTTAGAAGTGCTGATTCACTGTATGCCGCCCAACGCGTAATATTGTGAGATTTATCTGCGGCTGTGCACATTACATCTAAATACAGATAGATAGAGAAGCAATACTCAGACGAAATGTGTCATGGACCCACAACTTCAGCAGAAACATTAATATCATTCAGGATTGACATGCAATATTCAAGTCGCATTGTGATACATTTTAAGAGGTTTTTGCCTACATGCTGTATATATGTATGTGTACTTTTTTGTCTGTGCTTGTGTGTGTTTAAAACAATTAGGGGATTATTAAAAAATCAGTTAAAACCTTACTGTAAAATGTAGTTAATTGGGCAATATATCTTATTAGAATGTTTTAATAGCAAATAAAAGGCAAACAATGATATTAGTATAGATGAATTCACCTATCAGTTGGCCTGACATTTATCCATGCATGTTAAACATGTTCTGATATTGCCTCTTATCTTACTCTATCTTCCTCTTTCCTTCCCCCCCCCCCCCTCCAATCCCACCCAAACACTCACACGTGGGACGCGGGCGAAAACACGAATACAATTGTATATTACGTAACTAACTTTTTTAATTTGCATTTTCTATAAGATTGCGCAAAATAAACTGATTCTTTTAATTCAACAATGTATAATATTCTACCTCGTAATTCTATACGTTGAGCAAATTCCGTGTCCATTTAATTTCCAGACCAGTAGTGATTTTAATGAGGGCATTAAAATAAATCATTTGACTCAACTGTCGCATTTGATCCTTTAACTTCAACGTTTGAGCTTGATGTGATTGAAAATGATAAGTGAAAGCAGGCGTCCATTCTATTTATTATAATCTAAGTACTCTGACGCTAAATTCCTTGAGCTATCTATATTTGATAATATACTGTATGAAAACGAGATGCTTGCGGTTGAAGAGACTTATCCTGCATATTGCAAATTACAATGAGAGCGGTTTATAATGACTCTTATAAAATGTTCTCCTGGGATAATTTGCAAACGATTCTATTACAAGGTTCGTTAATGACGGTTGTGGCGTCTGTCATTTTATAAAAGTGCAGTTGTAATAGTGCCCAGGTTGACGAATGTGACACCGTAGATAAACGTAAATATTGATTTTCGACAAAGGTTTGAGTCAATTTGACTGACGAATCGTCCTATCCATCAGACGCTTTTGAAAATGAAAACAAGAGTGCGTTGCAAAAGAGTTAAAGCTATTAACCCTGATAATAAAATATTGCTTAGTGATGTAATTGTGTGTATGATGTCCTATTGTTTGTCTCATTAAATATTGATTGTTGGCTTAAGTTTCTATTATACCATTGCACCATGTTCTTATTTTAATTTACTAGCAGTGATCAGATGGTTGTTACACTTGTATATTAATTTTGTTTTTGTCATACTACATGAGTTGCTACGTGTGGTTATCTTATTAATATAAATTGTAAAATGCAATATGGGCCGGTGGCCTAAATTACTGGAATAAATTATCTTTTGAAATCATCTCCAAAAAAAACATGCCCGTTAATACATCTATTTAAAGGCAAGGAGTCAGTGACCGTACACAAACGAATGAGGCAAACGGTAAATGTGTCTGCGACAGTGCGAAAAAATAGTTTTTTAATGAGATGTACCTGCAAATCCCCTTTTTCAGAATGAAAAAGAGCAATAAACAGGTAAAAAGGAGCTGGATGCTCATGCCCCCTAACAATTAATTCAGAATTTAAGTTAACAGATACAGGTGTTACAAAGTGCCGGGTTGAAGATGCGAGAAGACGGCGATATTTATATATTCCCAAAATTAGTTTAAAACGTCGACGAATTACGTGGTATGATACAACAACTTAACTGAGATGTGGGAAGAAATTGTTTTAAAACTATAAAAGTCACCACGAAAGGCAATAAGTCAAGTAAATGTGCAAGAGAAAAATGCATTTTATATCAACCGTTCCAAACACAGCCGTCATCAGTCGAATGCATTTTTATATATCGTAACATATTCACGTTAATGCCCTTAAAGAGAAAATAAATGACTGGTATAAAGGCAAATGAATCTGAATTAATTCGAATATGTCAGACGAACACTGCATTAAGGCAATGTTTTTCAGCTTAAATGTTGTGAAGAAAATATGAAGCCACCGGTAATAACCTATCGTAAACATAAACATTACTAAATCAACGTGAGAAAATTACACGGATCCTAGCCTGGGTATTTAACTTTAGGCTGTACGTTGTCCAAATTTACAGCACTCTCAGATGGAGCATATCTTAGGCCGCATTCAGAAAAGTGGACTAACTAGTCCGAGGGTCAAATATGGCGACCCACTAAAAAGCTTGCCGTCTAATCCGCTAATAGACATTGCGTAGATTCCCCGTGGGGAAGTATTCAAGCGGATCGGCCATATTTGACCCTCGGACTAGTTAGTCCACTGTTCTGAATGCGGCCTTAATCGACTTAGGTGACGACAATCCACAGCATTAAAGCGCACTATATCCCAGGAGAAAATTTTATAAGGCAGACATTATAAACCGCTCTCATTGCAATTTGCAATATAACCACCAAAGGCTTCTAAAGCGCCTGATATCCCACGCTGTAATTTCTTAGTACACTGTAAGCGTACTAAGAAATTACACCCCAGATAAACAACGATCTGAATACCAAATACGGCTGACACTTGAGGTGTAAGAATATACACCCATAACGGCGTCACTGTCTAAGCTACCTAGGCTATTTGTAGCTCTCCTAGCTCAGCTAAAAGGAAGAAGTTATGTTTTTAGTGGACAATGTTTTTTAGTTATTTTTATCACTCTCTTATAGTGCACGTACAATCCAACTTATAGTTGCAAAAATAAATAGTATCGATATTACAGCGCAAATTTTCTCTTGCATTTGAGCAGCCCTTCGGGTCAACCGCGTAAAACCAGTAATTATACTTTAAATTCTTGGTAACTTTAGAGAAAAAAAACGCCCTTGAGAGATTTGACTTTATGAGATTTAATAACCATCTGCCCCCTTTCTTTATTATACTGTGATTCACCACCATGTAACAGTAGCCGGTATTTGGGGTGGGTGGGTGAGATTGGGGGAGGGGGGGGGGGGCTAATCAGATGAAGCAGGTACTTGTGTAAACACCGCTGTAGACACGGAACTCTTCCACATATTAAAATAAGCTGCTCTCGGCAATATCCCATCTTTCAAAACGTTGATAGTCTATCTCATTATCATAATGTTCAAAAATTTCATGAGCGTGGATTAACGTGGGGTTATAAAGATCTACGCCGGTGACACAACACGCGGTCACTTCTTCGAGAATAATCCACGAGGCTGATTAAGGAGTGATAAAACAGAGATGTACCTTTCCACTTTGTCAGATCACATTCATAGTTTTCCAGGATAATCCCCGCTAACGCCAGCTCTCAGCGTCGTGGTAATGCGGCTTTGTGAGATGAAAAGGAGAAGTAAGTACGATATGAATGTCGTTTATTTATCTCATTTTTAGCATTATGCTGATTTCAAGTGTTATTCTGTGACAAGTAAGTAAAGAGGGTATGGTTCGCTGGTTTTCATTTCTTTTAAACCCCCTTTACACCGGACGGCATCCTCTCTGCGTCCTTTGTGCGACCATGAAACTGGCATCGCTGTGGTCGTAGAAAGGAGGGACTAGCATCGCTTTGGTTGCAGAATGAATGCTTAATGTTTGGCCAGTTGTATTTAAAAGATATTATTTTTTACTCTCAAACCGGGCCGTACTAAGGGCGCAGAAATGACGCCGTCTAGTGTAAAGGGGGCTTTAGATGCTTGAATATTGAACCACAATGTTACATATACATGTATTGTTAAGCATTTGTTGTCTGACTTATCAAACTAGAATGTAACCTTTTAGGTTTATGTAAACATCGTTGTTTAGTGTCGCCAGTTAGGAATCACTCATTCTATGAATACAGAAGAATTTTAGAGTGAGACTTGGTTGAAGTAATCGATCCACTTAAATAAAGTGAGCATTGATAAGAATCACACAGTGTAAAAAACATGTCTGACGTACATGTACTAGTATAGAGATATAATATTTCATTTAAAGAGTGTGCTGTCAATTTTTGAAATACCCTTTCTGCTTTAGCGATTTTGATAAAAAATGTAATTCTAAATCTAAAAACATATCTAGGTGAAAAATATGAGAAAAAGGATTGGTTGGGGTTGGGGGTTGGGGTAGTCCAGCTTGTTTTCAAGACATAGCGTCCCGCAATATGTCATTTTTATTGAATTGCGATTTATCTCAGGTCGCAGTGGTCTAAAATTGTGGTCTTAAAGTTTGGACTAATCTTTAGACTCAGACTGAAGTTCTTAGCTGGAGTTTTGTGCCTGCTTCTTTGTTTTCTCCGCTTCATTGATAACTGTGACATTTTCACACTCGAGTGCCTGAAATATACACGTATTCAGAATCACTTAATACAATATACACACACTGGACAAAAGAAGTGTCACCCCCTAACTCAGAGTAATGAAAGTAGGTNATATTCAGTGTTTCATGCTTGGGCCAGCATAAGCCCTGAACGCATCAGACAATTAAATGAATCCTTGCTTCGTAGACTGGCACCTATTATTAGGTCACGTGGCTATGCCACTAAGTACTAATTTTGGACTTGAAACTACATATTTTGGTAGAATGTATATTTTGTTCTCATTTTGTGATTTTTTGTGATTTTTTGATGTTAATAAAATGATACCAGGAGCATATCATTCCACAGTCATTTATCTCCCCCATAGTATTGGCTCAGTAGGGGTGACACTTCTTTTGTCCAGTGTGTGTAGAATCACTTAGGGCGCATTCCCAGAGATTTTAGATCTATCTATCCCCGTGGGGAGTCTCACTAGATTACTGTCAGATAATCCGGCTTAAATGTCCGCCCCGCCTACTACAAGCTGTAAGGGGGTAATTAACTTTCGTGCCCGCTCGGCTGACAGCTATTTAGCGTGAACCCCCATAGAGTTAGGTCGATCTAATCTATGGGAATGGGGTCTTAATCAATAAGTCAGACATACTGCCTGGATGTATAGTGTGATAAATGTAGCAAAATAAAGCACCGGAAAATATCTCCGATCATGATTGAATGATCTTTGTAGGAGTGCCAAAAGCAATAAAGGCTTGTTTTGACGCTTATTGAAAGACTAGTTACTCACTTGTATACATAAAACCATTCTAAAAGCGCCTATATCGCTACATTTACACAGTAAAAGACACGGTTGCACAACAGTATAATGCTCGATACTTTTTTTTCTCGGACACCAGTTCATTACTTTGCTCTCCTCGAGGGAAGGCCGTTTACTTATCCGTCGGCTGGCTGATTAACTTGGTACTGAAACATTATCGTTTGAGACAATATCTCTACATTTATGACGCATACCATAATCATTTAATTAAGGAAAAAGGGAAATTCGTGACTTTTGACCCCGTTAATTGTGATTCAATGTATATAAACCGAAATATTGATACTGGGTCCAGGGTATCATTTTCTCTGTGCTTATATTACCTAATATCACCTGGCTTTAACTGTATATATAATGATCGGTAAGTTATGCTCAAAACGGACTTGAATAAAAACTTGTTTGCTTTGCGATCAATTAAGATCCCCGAATAACTGAACAGCTTTTATCCATAGGTTGCCGTATTTGTTAAAGCTTTATAGAACAGAGAAACACATAAAAGAGGTTATGCCAGTGCTTTTAATTCGAAACTTTTCGCTAGACGGCTTCTGTGCCAATCCCTGGATTATGACCTGTATATGTTTAATAAAGCGCTCATTATGCAAGCTTCACAATGGTTATGTTGAAAGAAACTGCTGTGCACCCGCCAGTGACGACTGCGAGAGGAGAAAATCCTTAAGGTATGCATCACGTGGTATGCACCGGTAATAATTTGTCCATGCAGTTCACGAGTAGTGACCCAGAACAGGGTGACATGAACGGGTTTTATTGACGCTGTGAGACACAGTCGATAATTTCAGCTAAAGAAGAACAGGAGGCATTGACGGGGACACCCCAAGGTAAGGAGGTTGGACGGATGCAAATAGGCACAGTTTACTGGCAAATGTACATGTATGGGGACGTAATGTACATTTTTACGTGCAGCCATGTGCTGGTTATTTGTTTCTCATTTCAAATAATACTAGTTGCTAGTTGACCTTTACAATAACCAGCCAAACCAGAGCTGCGGTGTTTGTATAATTTCAACGCAGCTCATTGAATTAAGTGCTATACAATCACTGCGTGTATTAATTGTACGTGTGGCTGGCGGGGAAAAGTTGGCGTAACCCCAGTAGCACTGTACCAGTAGTTGTTGTGTTGCCGTTCTCGAAAGACATACCCCCCCCCCCCACGGAGGTCTCCCCAAAATGCTCTTCAGCGGTCGATCCATCAAAACAACTTGCATTTGATTTATAAATAGGCTCTATAAACACAGTACGTGTACAATAGCACATTACATGTTGTTATGCTAGTAGCACTTACAGTAGTTCATTTGTTTTAGTGACTAGCCCATTCCCTCATGCCCAAGCCATTCTAAATATAAGTCACCAAGGACCAATGTCCCATGATTATGAGGGCACCATGCAATCTGCGTCTGTGATAATTATACTTTGTGCTTATATGCTCTTATTAATAACATATGTAAGTACCGAACACTACCCCATCTGAGAAAAAGAAAACAATATTGTCTGGACAAAAGGCAATACTATAAGCAACTGGTGCTGTGAGTTTATGCAAAAGTACGACTGGTGAATTAAAATGTATATCTCATATTGAATGTTTTACAAATCCGAAATTTGAATCCTTACACATACGGTGCTGGAGGGGGGTGTCCACAGTTGTCACAATACCATTTGCAGGNTCCGAAATTTGAATCCTTACACATACGGTGCTGGAGGGGGTGTCCACAGTTGTCACAATACCGTTTGCAGGCCCGTAGCCAGCAATTTCAAGGGGGGGTTCTTTTTCTGAAAAAGTGGACCTTTTACCATATAATCCACATGTACCTAGGTCAAATTTTACCCAGAGTGGACCTTTTTCCAGCAAAAATGGGGGGTTCTTTTGAACCCCCCGAACCCCCCCTGGCTATGGGCCTGATTTGTCACATTTTTAAAATAGTCACAGTTATGCATGACAGTGTGAACAAAATTGCTATATCAGGACGGAGAAAAGGCTGGTTTCTTCGGCTCGTGCACTGGTATGTGACTCTGTCAACTTGACTTGCTTCATAATGCAGTAAGGGTTCACCTCTCGTGACATAGAAACCTATCAACAAAGAACGCTCTTATATAAACCTGCGACCCGTCACCTTACCTAATTGTTATAATGCGCTTACCTGATAGACGGAAAGAGTGCTAGAGGTTTTTCTTCTCTAATACAGCAAGGTATGTAAAAATGAATAACGGGAATTATACAAATTTTGCAATGAACTAATGCAGTGTGATTAAACCTACATGTTGGACACGAAATCGTGACAGAGACGCCCAGCCTGCGATAATGTGTCTCATTTGACGTTCAATCTACTATTCTAGAACATTTGGTGTGTTTTTTACAGTTCTAATGTTGTTCTCTAATGAATGTAACAGTTCGAAAAATGTCCCAGAACAGATGAAGAACATTTTTCATTAAAAGAGAAAAACATTTTCTTGGACAGATTGAGAGCCGCAAGTGGGCTTTAAATGAGATAAATTTTCGCAGCGGGTTACAGTGTCGTGCCGTGGGAGAACGCAACTCAACAATCCCTAGTTAAGTATTTCGTCGTTATACATGCCAACTCGTACAAAGTAAATTACCCTAATGCTTTCATGGCGCTCACTCATCCCTTACTGTTACTGTTAGGTGTTATTTTTCATGTGATATTAGAGGTAAAGTATTTTTTGTAATGCATATGCACACATTAATGGATGCAGACTGACAATATAAATGGGACCCTTATAAGCCCGTATATCAAAGTATTCGGTGGTCTGGGCCCTTTATTGATTAAGAAAGGAGTACTTTACTCTTGGGGAAAAGAAATGTACAAAAAAAAATCCTACAAATAAGTTATTTTTTTCGAGTAATAAATTTACTACACTGTTAGGTGATGAGCTTCAATCTACTTCTTAATTTTTTCGAAAACAAGGCACCCTTTTCGTTACTTATACTATATCCTCTTTACAAATGGCATTATCTTGTTAATTTTTGCAACAAAATGTTAATTGCAGATGCAGTTCGCAAGTTCTTCCCAAATCTTTTTTTTCCGTAGTCACAATTTGCACCGATATATGGAGTAGCGTCATTGTCTCAATATTGAGTCACAAAAGCCTCAACAACTGGAGTGCGGAGGAACTAATACATGTCATTCTAATCATAAATTGACACACAATAGGTGACGAGACGGCCAACATATTATCCCGCTGACCACCAAGGTTTAAAATTACAACTACAACTATTGAATTGCAGTGGTCGACTAATTTTACAAAATATAGGCCAGATTCTTATATAAATAACCGGTATGAAATATATAGCACACAATATCAAATTCCGTCTAGAAGCTTCGTGTCACGTGTGCATCAGGGACATTAGCTTTTTAATGGGGTGATAATGAATATAAAGGAGAAAGGAGTTGCTTTGCTTGCTCCTATATAGTCCCATTAATTATGGTCTCCTTGGTTATCTTCTACTGAATGTTGATCAGCATGTATTATCAGTTGCTTCTTCCAAGGCTGCTACTCTTTATAATAATAATAATAATAATAATAATAATAATAATAATAATAATAACGAATTATTAATTTATTAATTGAAATTATTAAATGGAAATGGACACCCCAACGACAAAAAGACACAATGAAACGATATAATAATAAATACGCTTAAGAAATTACTAAACCTTTTATACTTTGAAAATTTTTCTTATGTCGTTGCATATTTCACAAAGATAAATTTACTTCTTTAAAAAGAAGGGACTTTGTGGAAGCCCCAAAGAAAAATTTCTGATTTTTTCCCTTAAAAAATGCTTAAACTTTGTTAGAGTTTTGTCATATGCTTTTCTATTTTTTGCTGATGCTGCTCGGTTAGCTGAAATAAGGTCTTAACTAAGCAGGATGAATTGATAATTCACTGAACGGTCTACGTCAATTAAAATGCCAACCATCTAGGGAGCAAACATCTATCATATCTATATTCATACAAGTTCTCTCCATTTAAGGGTCGATAATTCTAGCGTGTTGATTGCAATTGATTTACACCTAGTGGACCATTCCCAAACCCTATCGTACTAGCAGGATCGTTCTATCTCCGAGGGGTTTCTCTCTAAATTGCATTTAGCTTAAGCGCGCACGAAATATATTACCTCCCTAGTAGCTTTAATGGGCGTGACAGACATTTAAGCCGCTTAAACTGAATGCAAAGAAAGTACAGAATTACCCCGATGGCCTAAAGGCAAACTGTCCCCACCTTGAATAAAAACCCCTTGCTGTTAATCCGCCCCTGGAGAGATTAGAGGAGTACATGATATTTAACTGCTTTCGTATCGTTTTCAAGGCAATCCACCTTCCTCTATCAACATTTATTTAGCCGATAAGCGACAATAGCTTGTATTTAGTGATGGTTTGTGAATGCTAGAATCTATCAAACAAGGATTATCAAACAACCAAGGGGACGCTGGAGACTTGAGTGACGAGATGGACAGCAGGTGTACAGGGTGCACAAAAATATACTCGCCCTGTGACTGCCCATTGCCCATATACTTGACTTTGGTTTAGAGATTATATTATATTATATGGCAAAGATGCATGTATAAGTCTTGGTTAAACCAAGGAAAATAACAAAAGAAAAAATAACAAAATAACATGGTATAAAAGATTTTAATGTTCTCAATAATAAAAAAATATATTAATCATGGGTAGCCAAAGAATTATTACATTTTTTGGGGGACACCATATATAGAAAAATGGAGTCCCGTCACGTCCCTTCCACAGACAAATGTAATGTAATCATCCGGTTTATATTCTCTAGCATATTTTCAAAGACCCCATTCCCACACAGACACCATCGGTCCACGCGGTTCGACCCAACTCTGCTAGGACTCTTGCTAAATGCAATCAGCTTAATTGAAGGTCACGCCTCCTTTTGTTTCCAACAATGTCCGTATAATAACCAGCTTTTGTGTATTCTACTTAAAACGCCAGAAGGAGGCGTGTTAATCTGTTAAGCTGATTGTACTCAGCCAAAATCCCCGCAGAGTTGGGGCCATTCACGTAGACTGATAATGATTATGGGAATGCACGCTAAATGATCATTAGGATACATTGATTTAAGCAGCAGTCACTCGGTTTTTGCATTATTGTTTTTCTGGATGAGCGACAAAGTGAAGCGATGATATATGTATGTATTTTGCATGCGGGTTTATAACCACGAACAACAGAGAACCGCAGCAATTCTGTTTGATAAGGGATAGGACATCAAGAGAAATATGTACAAAGGTAATTGATTTGGGTGTATTTTCAAACGATTTTATAGGATACGTAGAAAATCTAACCCCCTTCGAATGCCATAAGTGAGGCTAGAATGTTGTGTTAAAGAATTCAAACGAGAATGCAGAAAGCATTCATACTTAAGAAAGTAGATATTTCTTTCTTTCCTCAGCCCAGAATCAAGGATAATGTAAAACCACGGCACTAGTTCGTGGCCTGTGTGATAGGAACGATACGGATGATGATCTAATACTGTATGAAACGAGACTAAGGCTTCGTTCACATGCAATGTCTATTTTCTATTTTCTATTTTCTATTTTCGGTATGTCTTATGATCACGGTCTGTGCACTGAATATCCCGCGGCGTAATTACTGGCAGCGCGAGCCAGTTACTATAAGTTACTATAAGTAACTGGCTCGCGCTGCCAGTAATTACGCGGCGGGATATTCAGTGCACAGACCGTGATCATAAGACATACCGAAAATAGAAAATAGAAAATAGAAAATAGACATTGCATGTGAACGAAGCCTAATTCCTCTTACAACGACAGGCTTCAGCTTGAGATAAAAGTTACACAATGTAATTACCAGTCTTCGGTCCCATATCTGTTATATCACCATTTACAATCTATCTAATGTACAATATTATATTTTATAATACAAGGCACTCTGTTCTGCTGTAACTTAATGGGATTTTATCACTTAAAGATCACACTTGAGTTATTCCAAGATTATACGGCTTATTAAACATGTATCTTCCTAGACTATTCAAAGCTAGGACAGGCCGGCCCGATGTGTGTCCCTGTTCCAAGGGAAAATTTTATTTTGAATTATTACGGCTGTCATCTTCTCACTTTGGGTAAGGAGGATTGAGGAACAATGGGGACTTGTATCAGTGATAAAAATTAAGGGCCACAATGAACATCTTGTTATTTAGAATCACGCGATGTATGGATTATCTTATCGTGGATCAACATCCAAGATAGTTGGGTAAACGAGTAGCTGTCTTGTGGAGACAGACCAGCAAGTTGTACGGATTCACTTTAAGCTTATATCAAAGCTTAAAAAAACAACCGAAGTCGGATATATATTTAGAAATAAAATACTCTTTTCTTAAAGCAGTTTTCGTTTCTTTACACTTACGTTTAGAAAACGGATCGAGAACGGCAATATAATTCGTCTGTTTATAAAATGTTTTATTCATCTTTTAAAGTTGATTAAATAAATAAATAAATAAATAAATAAATAAATAAATAAATAAATAAATAAATAAATAATGGTGAAATATTCGCGTCCCACCACGCCGTATTTGCTGGAACAGATTTAATGTCTTACCAGATAGCAACTGGACCACTTGTAACAATTTGACATCTTATATTGAACATGTGATTTTTAAAAAAAATTGACATGAATCTTTTCTGTTTATTTCAGGGTGTAGATGGACGATGCTCAATCGACTGGTGTCATCTTCCAAGACGATCTTCTTTATTACAGTCTCGGTTATGCTCGTCGTGGCGGTGTATTTAGTGGGGAGATTAGAAACTGGCAATCCCTCGACAGTGTTCCAAGTGAAAGAAAACTCCCAGTCAGGAATATTTGAGGATAAATCCAGTGTTGAAAACTCAGCGTTGGGTTGGAATAGGGCCGTGAAAAGTTCAGACCTGAAAACAAATGATGAACACCACGACAACGAGGCGGAGAAAGAAAAAGGTTGGAGACGGGAAAAGGAAAAGAAGGGAAAGTTTGGAAATTTTGACGATATGGAAAGTGCCATTAACAGATCATTTGTTCATGTAGAACTAACTTCGAGTGTGCCGCAAAATAAAGAAAACAGTGCTTCGGCGGCAAACCTATCAGCGCAACATACAATAAAGACAACAGCAATACCAAATGAAGGAAACGAAGAAAAACCCAATCAAATTCCTGAAATAAGTACGACAATGAAACTCGTGACGGCGTCAACAAGAGCAACAACAGTAAAACCATATGTACGTAAGGAAATTATATTATTCCCACCAAAAAGAACAAACAACGAAGTTCAGCAAAAGACAATAATTTCCATGCAAGGATCGGAGTCGGTCACACCTACTACAATATTGCAGCATTATCTTCTCCACCCGGATACAGTGGTGAATTTTGCTGTATATGACACGCGGTATTCAAAAATGGTGCGAATCTTCGCTGCACAACCACATGACGCTCTCCCCCTCGAGTACAGCTTTCAGGAAACAAATCTCGGACCTGGAAAATTGGCTAAAAGAGAGCTCGTCTCTCGCAGTGACACGTTTGAAACACATTACGATGTTTTGAATTATTATCATTTCGAATGCCTACTGCCAGTGAACTTGACGAAGCCGCCAAATCTTATTTACGTGCGCAAAAAGGGATCACATGAATGGTTGTCCATTCCTGTGCATGTATACCCCGATGCGCTGTCTCCGAAATCGCCAATTCAACTTGCCGCTTGTGTGAAAACTGCGAGAAGCGAGCTCGATCCCGTCCGCTTAGTGGAGTGGTTTGAAATGAGCAAACTTATAGGTATACGGAACTTCATCATTTACGATGGAGGAGTTAAAGGCCCAGCACGGAAAGTTTTAGATTATTACGTGGAGCAAAATATTCTCACCCTCGTCAATGATACTTTTTTCCCGTTTGTTACGCAGAACGCTGAAGGTATGATACCAAACGCTTTCAAAATCAACCGGGAATATAAACAATACACGCAACTTCTACAAGCAGAATTAGGTAGCATCAACGACTGTATGTATAGATTCAAAAATATATACAATTACATTTTATTAATTGACATTGACGAAATCCTCGTCCCTACTCCAGATGAAAATATCACCAGTCTTATCGAGCGTTTACGGGGCTGGTTCCCCGACAAAGGGGCCTACGCTCTCCCAGCGAGCCACCATTTCAGGGAGTATGGTCCAAGCGACGCGGAGGGTAAAATTCCAAACTATTTATACATGATGCGGCATCTAAGGCGGACAGATCCCGTGTGGTTTCAGTCTAAGAGCATATTCATTCCTGATCATATATTTTCCGCCAATTGGCACATGCCTCGTTGGCCGAGAATGAGTTATTCGGAGGAACAAGTTATCGACGAGAGGTCTGGGTATGTTCACCACTTCCGGGATAAGTGCAAATTTGATTTAAATGGGAAAACGTGTAAAGATGTGCTTAAGTCTTGGAGAGTGGACTCGCTCATCACAAGGTACTATGACAGTCTGAATACTAATACTTTGAACACTTTGCAGAAGTTGAATTTGTGGAAGACAACAAATGAAGTGAACTCTAGTCCATGACAATGTCTTTTTTTGTTAAAAAATATTGACCACTTTTGGGGATCAAATTCCCAATGAAATCCTGTGCTCAACGGTCAAAAATGACCAGTCTTATCAAATAAGAATTTAACTTTTGACATTTTTGACTAGTATATTTTTGACTGTGATTATTTAGCATTTCTTGCCTCAGGTGCTTTACACTGTATGTATTTAAAAAAGACAAGAGTATGGACACCTTTGGATGAAAAACCTGTAGACACTATAATTTTATTTTCGAGGACATGGGCGACTTTTGCACATTTCTTTGTAACATTTTAGAATGAATTGTTTTGATACTTAGAAGAATATTAAGTAAGTCTGACCATGAGGCAAGAGAACCACCCTTGGTGATATTCCTTGGTTAAGAAATATACTGTGCCGTAGTAGTGCCAGGAAATGGCAAATTTACCTTTTCTTTTTCTTTTTCGTTTTTTT